TGAGCTAGGTTGTTCTTGATTGTCGCCAGTTTCACTCTGTGTTCATTTGCTCTTTCTGTACTTTTGCACTGTCACCGTTTTCTTTTCGTATTCCTTTTCTCTCTCTCTTCTCAGCACTGTCCCTTTTTGCTGCCACCAGACAAAAGTGCGGCGCTGGTGCACACCAGCTTCCCATCCTCGGTTAGGCATCTGCGTCTCTATTGCCTTAAACGCTGATTTGAAATCAATTATCCAAATTGTCGTCAATCCGCTTCCGCTAATCGGCTTACGTCATGTTGTCAATCGAAAAGCACTGTTCAGTAAGCCTAGCTTGTGTGTGTGTGTGTGTGCTGCAATTGNCCGCTTCCGCTAATCGGCTTACGTCATGTTGTCAATCGAAAAGCACTGTTCAGTAAGCCTAGCTTGTGTGTGTGTGCTGCAATTGATGCCATTCGGTCTCTGNGATGCCATTCGGTTTCTAGCCCCTTGGTCTGTGACACTGTCTGCTGTTGTCCCTGTTGTCTGCTATGGAGCAGAGAAGAGGAAGTGTCCTGCCAATTGGTTTGCGTGCTGCGCTGGTGCGTCGTCCAGGCATAAGGCATCACTGGTCCAGACGGACTGACTGGCTGGCTGGCTGGNAGCCCCTTGGTCTGTGACACTGTCTGCTGTTGTGCCTGTTGTCTGCTATGGAGCAGAGAGGAGGAAGTGTCCTGCCAATTGGTTTGCGTGCTGCGCTGGTGCGTCGTCCAGGCATAAGGCATCACTGGTCTAGACGGACTTACTGCCTGTGTGCCCAGGACCTGTCACTGTCACTAATTGTCCATAATTTAAAGGATTCACTTTGTGTTTCATTTCAGAGCATTTGCATTTTTGTTTTTTGCAAGTCTATACTGTTTAAAAGCAAGTATAAACTGTGTTCTGTGTTGTTTTGTTTTGAATCAATTTAATTTTTCACTTGCGCAACGGCAGCTTAGTCGCGGGCCTAGCTGACTGCCGCCAGTTGGTTGCCAAAGCGGCGGCGGCGGCAGTTGTTTCTTTGCCAAATCTGCTCTCGCAGCTTCTGAGACGAGAGTGAAAGTGAGCCACTGGTGGATGGCGAAAGTGCCTTCCTGGTAGTAGGAGAGAGAGTGGTCATTAGGCGAAACACAACGATTGCCATCANTTCACTTTGTGTTTCATTTCAGAGCATTTGCATTTTTGTTTTTTGCAAGTTTATACTGTTTAAAAGCAAGCATAAACTGTGTTTTGTGTTGTTTTGTTTTGAATCAATTTAATTTTTCACTTACGCAACGGCGGCTTAGTCGCGGGCCTAGTTGACTGCCGCCAGTTGGTTGCCAAAGCGGCGGCGGCAGTTGTTTCTTTGCCAAATCTGCTCTCGCAGCTTCTGAGACGAGAGTGAAAGTGAGCCTCTGGTGGATGGCAAAAGTGCCTTCCTGGTAGTGGGAGAGAGAGTGGTCATTAGGCGAAACACAACGATTGCCATCTTCTCTAAGACCGGGTAATGGCCATAAAGGCAATTTGCCAGTATGGCCACACGTAGCTCCAGAGTCGATGTATGTGTGTATGTGAGCCCCAGCAAGACAAGGCACAGACACTGGCAAATGACCACCTAATCCTCTCTCATTGCAATGTCAATGTCTGCCAAGTTGCCATTTGTTCTTCTGCAAACTGTTCTCTGCTCTGCCGCCATCTTTATGCATGTATAAGGCCTTATTGTGCGACTCGAAGAAGTTATAAGTAAAAATGGGCCTGCTCGTTAGACAAACTGTGTGACTGCTTAAAGCTGCCTAAATCGATCGACTCTCTCATTACGTTTCCTTTTAAATCCTCCTCCTCCTCTGATGACCTCTCTTCTCTTGATGTGTTTTCCAAATTGACGACAATTCCTTTCTATCCCTCCTCCCCTGTGTGTCCACCAGACCAGGAAACGGACTCTGACTTGGTGGACAGCGACAACGATGATGATGATGATGATGGCAGCAGCTCACGACCCAGCTCACGACACTCTCTCGATGGGCAGCTGCAGATGTCACCGTACCTTCACAACTCTCTGCCAAACAGTACCGTCAACAGCAACAACAGCAACATCATCAACAACGGAAGTAGCAGTACTGCGGCGAACAGCTTCGCCTCGCACCTGGCAGCAGTCGCTTCAGTCGCTGCCTCATCCTCTTCCTCGCCGATGTGCAGCGTTGATGCGGCCATCACCTCGGCCAGCAACCTGCTCGCCGCCTCCTCTGCTGCTGCAGCCGCTGCCGCTGGAGCTGCTGGTCTGGTGGGCGGTGGTGGTGGTGTCAGTGGCAGTAGTGGCGTCGTGGACGGCCTGCCCGGCACTGACTTCTTCTTCAACTACCACCAAATGGCGCGCACTGCCGCCGCCACCTTCTCGCCCTTTGCCTTTCCCAGCTCGCCCATCTTCATTCCGCCGTCGCTGCTGAAGCCTTTCAGTTACCTGCAGGCAGGGGCAGCTGCTGCTGCGGCTGCTTCTGCTGGTGTTGGTGCCGGTGCTGGTGGCTGTAATCCACTTCGACCACTGAATCTCTCTCTCGGTCCTGGCACCACCGCTGAGGGAGCTGTCATTTCAGTGAATACGCTCAGTGCTGGACAGACGCACTCTAATGGGGTTAACCTCAACGGCGGCGGTGGGGGAGGTTGTGGTGGTCACCTGAGCAGCAGCACTACTGCATCTGGCGCAACTCCTCTGGCCACCAAATCTCAAGCAGACCCAGGCACAGTGTCCATTAGCAGCCATGCGGGCAAAGGGTCTAACGCCGTGAACAACAGCAACGGCAACAGCAATGGCAGCGGAAGTGGAAATAAGCGCAACTCCTCACCCACTCTTCTCTGCGTCGTTTGCGGCGATCTGTCTAGTGGCAAGCACTACGGTATTCTCGCCTGCAATGGCTGCAGTGGCTTCTTTAAGCGAAGCGTTCGACGTAAACTCATCTACAGGTTTGTGATTTTAAATCTGATTCAATTTCGACTTTTGTTTCTACTTGTATTTTGTGTCGTGCAGATGCCAGGCCGGAACGGGTGGTTGTACTGTGGATAAGCAACATCGAAACCAGTGTCAGGCCTGTCGACTGAAGAAGTGCATTGCAATGGTAGGTGTCTTTTAGGTGACCGTTTTCTATTTAGTTTTCCTCACTTTTCTCTTCTATACAAACTGCTAAA